CGATGCCGGAAACCACCGGCACCCAAAAAAAACCCCCGCCCTCAAGGTAAGTTTAAAAAAACCGGTTTTTAAAAATCAGGAACCGGGAGGGGGGGGGATCGTCGCCTTCGGGAAGGCCCGCCCCCCCCGGACCCTGGGGGGCGGGGCGGGCCAGCAAACTGAAGCGGGCCCCTCCCGGGGCGGTTGAACGACCCCGGGTTTCTCGGTTGTACCCCCCTCTTCCTGATTTCGCACATGCAATCTCCGCCCCCGCGCCTGCGGACCGTCTGCGCTACGGCCCCGGTGCGCCCGGGAGGGGAAGTGCGGGAGCGGCTGTCGTCCGTAGGCACTTGTAGTTGATGTATTTGCATCGGGGACCTCCGCAGTCTGGTTTTCCCTCTTCATATCTAAATTAACTTTACGTACTTTACCTGGCAAAGCTTCTTCAGCTCTGAAGGTTCACCGCACTGCCAGTACGTTATATCATTACGCAGTGTGCTCAAGATTCGTGGGGTGGACCCTCTCCTGGGATTTGACAGATACCCAGGAAGAGAGGGTGAATGAGAACATTTAGTGTGTTTAAAGCAGTGAATTTCAGTATTTTTCATTTCGTGACACGTAAACTAATTACTAAAATTCTGCGAGCACACCAAAAAAGTGTATTTTTGCCCATCCTACCAAAAAAAAAAAAATAGGTATAACTTTGATTCATTAACACTAGATGGCTATTGTTGTGTTGGATGTTGGCATTTTTTTCATCTGACCACCTAAGGAGAAAGATGTCAGTGACCCTGATTAAATAGTCAAGTGTTGCATGTTTAAAAAATGATTGGGGCACACAGGTTGAACATCGCTGTGTTGAAGGAATCTAGTATAACTTTGTTTCCTTCGTGTGCTAAGAACCTGTATGTCAGCTCATTTATAACATATTGCTATCCTCATTTTATAGAGGAGGTAAACGGGGTTCAGAGAAATTAAGTTCCTACTTCAGAATGTTGATAAAAAGAAAAGCACAGTTTCAGCAATGGGTTGTCTGATTCCGAAGCTCCATGCCCTTTCCACTTCCCTTCCTGTCTGAAATAAGTAGGGGAAATGGGGAACATCAGCCTGCCATACAAGTGCGGGAACTGGAGGGCCCAGCTGGGGGTGGGAGGGTCTCCTACCAACCCCAAAATACTATTTCCACAAAATGTAGAAAAGTACAAATGAAGGGAACTATGATAAGCATTAAACCATATTGTAATGCACTAATGAGATTGTAAAGACGAAGAAGAAATCTCACTTGGTCAGGAGGATGGATTTTATTCCAGTTTTACACAGAAAGCTATTGAGAGTTTTTAAGCGTGTGGTTGACTTACGATTATATTTTGAGATGTTCTCTCCGACTGATGTGTTAAATTGTTAGCATACACTACAGGCATGGGTGAAGGCAAAGCAGTTAAGAAACGTTGGGGTAGTCTGAGAAGTAAAAGTGGTGTTTCGACTGCTGTTCTGAGGAGGTAGTGAAAAGAAGTCAGATTTAGTAAGATACTGTGGTAGCAGAGCCAGAAGTACTAGGTAATGGATTGGATGTAGGTGGGAAAGGAAAAAAGGAATTGGAAATTCCCATATTTTTGGTCTGAGCAACCAGGTAAAAAGGAAGAAAAAGGTTTGAGAGGGAAAATCAGATATTATATTACAGATGCCTATTAGATACCCCAGGAGAATATGCAGAACTAAAGCTAACGGGAGAGGACAGGGCTAGGAATACAGATTTGGGAGTCAGCAGCATTTCACCTAAAGAAAATGCAGATAGAGAAAAAAATTTTAAAAGAGCACTAGGATCCGCCAAGTCTTAGGGGACTGTTAGAGAAGAAGGAGCTGCCAGGGAAGTAGGAGGAAAACCAATAGACTGTGCTGTCCCAGCGAATGTTTCAAAAAGAATGGAAGTGGTCGGCTGTTTTAAATGATGCTGAGAAATTGAAAAAGATGAGAATAAAGAAATGACCTTGGATTTGGCAAGATGAAGATCACTAATGACCTTGATAAGAGTCATATCAGTGGAATGGTGGGGATGAAAGTTGAATTGAAGGAGATTGAGAAGAGAATGATGGAAACCATGAGTGTAGACAATTAATTATTCAGAGTGTTAAAGAAAACAGAAATGGAGCAATAGCTGGAGGGGGATGTGGAGTGGTATTAGGCCAAGGCTATCACTGACAACTGCAGTCTCAACATGTTAACATAAACAGAGTTTGTTTATCATTTGAGTCAGTCCAATGTGAGTTGAGTGGCTTTCTTCCAGGACCCAGGCATGTTCAATCTCATAGCACCAACATGTAGCCGTCAAAGTCACCTCAGAAAAGGAAAGAGAGTAGAGAATCAGGAATGGGAGATTTTTTTTTTTAATCCTCACCTGAGGATATGTTTTTATTGTTCTGAGAGAGAGAGAAAAAACAACAACAACATAGATGTGTGAGAGAAACATCAATTGGTTGCCCTGACGGAATTGAACCTGCAACCTTTTTGGCATACCGGATGATGTTCCAATCAGCTGAGCTACCTGGCCAGGACATGAATGGGAGATTTTTATGGGCCAAGCCTGAAAGTGGAATACATTATTTCTGGTCACAATCTACTTTCCATATGGCCTCCACAAGGGGGCTGAGAAATAAAATTTGAGAAATGTAATTTAGCTGTGTGCCCAGAAAGAAGAGAAGAAAATGTGTCCATGAGCATTAGCAGCCTCTGGCACTGAAGTTTTGTTTTGTTATAGAGGGTTTTGTTTTGATATTAAGGCGTATTTGTATTAAAATGAGACTGACTCAGCATTGAAGGCGAAATGGATGATGATGGAGCGCAGGAGGTACTGTGTGAAGAAGAGAGAAAGAATGAAATCTAGAGCACAGGTTATTGAGGAAGAGAGAGAGAATGAAATGTAGAGCACAGGTTATGGGGCTGGCTGTAGATTAGAATGGGGACACTTCTTTGGTAACAAGAAGGAAGACAGAGCAGATGCAGAGAACCTGGTAGACTTGATGGTATGAAGATGAGGTAATCAGTCAAATTGCCTTGTGTTTTTTTTTTAAATAGTGAAGAATGATGATGTAAGGTTCAACTGAGAGTGGAAAGCTAAGGCAAGGGAATGGGAGGTTCAAGGAAGAAGAGATGCTGAAAATATGGTATATGAGAATGGAACTTTATAAGGTATATCTGGCTGTACTAAATATCCATTTGAAATTAGTGGTCATAAATGTAATGTTATACCAGTAAACAGTTTTTATTTTTTATTTTTAAATATATTTTTATTGATTTTATAGAGAAAGGGGGGGTAGAGAGATAGGAACATCAATGAGAATCATTGATCAGCTGCCTCCTGCACGCCCCCTACTGGGGATTGAGCCCGCAACCCAGGAATGTGCCCTTGGCCGGAATCGGACCTGGGACCCCTCAGTCCGCAGGCTGACGCTCTATCCACTGAGCCAAACTGGCTAGGGCAATAGTATTTCTTATATGGTTTTTAACCTAGGGCAGTGGTCAGCAAACTGCGGCTCGGCAAACCGCGGCTCTTGAGCCACATGTGGCTCTTTGGCCCCTTGAGTGTGGCTTTTCCACAAAATACCAGCTCTTCCACAAAATACCAACTTCTGCACATGGGCCACGAAGTTTCATTCGCACTGTACGTGCGCGCCCACACGTGGTATTTTGTGGAAGAGCCACACTCAAGGGGCCAAAGAGCTGCATGTGGCTTGCGAGCCGCGGTTTGCTGACCACGGACCTAAGGGATATCAATGAATAATATCATGAAAAAGAAGACAAAGAACTAGGAAAACTTAAATCTGAATGGGAATATGAGGGAGGAATGCATAATACCACTCAACCCACACACTCCTTGAGTAATCTTGTCGATTCTCATGATTTTACTCATGGTCACAGGACCATATGTCCAGCCTGGATCGTTCTCTTGACTTCAGACCTGTATATCCAACTATCTTCAAGACACCTCCATGGGGAAAGTCATAGGCATCCAAACTCAACCTACTCAGCATCTGTCCCAAGTTTACTCTTCCTCCCATATTCCTTATACCGCCATCTTCCCATAACTAGGTGAAGGCCTGGGTGTGGGGTGGGAGGGCTGGAAGAAGCCAATGGGAGGAAAAAAGGGACATTTGTAATACTTTCAACAATAAAGATTTTTTAATAAAATAAAATTAGGAGCCACCCTTGACTCTCTCACTGACCACCCTCATCAACCCCACAACATCCAGTCACCAAATCCTACTGATTTTACCAATCAAATATGAATCCATTTCTTTTCCATCTTTTTTTTTTTTTTTGGTTAATCCTCACCTGAGGATATTTTTCTATTGATTTTTAGAGAGAGTGGAAGGGAGAGGGAGAGAGAGAAAGAAACATCGATGTGAGACAGACACATCGATTGGTTGCCTCCTGCACACTCCCTGGCCAGGGCCAGGGAACCTGCAACCAAGGTACATGCCCTTGACCAGAATCGAACCCAGGACCCTTCTGTATGGGGGCCGATGCTCTTTCCACTGAGCCAAACTGCCTAGGGTCATTTCTT